TTTATTTGTGTTGTCTTTTGAAGACTGGTCTATCCTATGGTACCGCTAGAAACTCGTATTATTATTATTTATTTATATTTCTCAGGTCACCTAAAACTGAGTTTTAATCCGGGATGGGTGACATGTCGTACAGACTTGATATGAACGACTGTAAAACGAAAACGGTATGTTTGTCAAAATTAATAATACAATATATTCTTATTATATGATATGCCTAGTGTATGTGTAATATCCATGCCTACAAATTAATATCACCATTTGTGTGTTTTGATCAACAACAGTTTAGTAAGCTTCTATCACATTAATTGCTAATTAAATCAGGATGGAGTGTGTTCGAGTAATTATTATTTCTCTTACGAACTAGTTGAGGGTTGATGAACTTGTTACTAGAAAATGATTGATTTGTTGTCGACTTTAAAATTTTGATTTGAAGGACTGTTTATTCAGTCTGAAATTTTACAAAATATTTTATACCAGTAACACCATTTTATATGTTATTCTTATACATCATGTATTCATACTTGGTATCTTCTTTATCTGTGGACCACTTTTTTACACCAATTTACTTCTATCACCTCAACTCTTACTATAATATTTCAGACTACATCCAGATACAAAACAATAATTATTTCCTACAACAAACATTGTCCTAACTAACATCTGTTATACAAGCTATAAATCGGTATAAAATATTTTGATATTCAGTACTATAGACAATTTTGTCTCTCATCATTTTTTCAACACACTTTTGACCTGTTTTATCCAGAATTAATTCGGTTAATCAATCTGGTGATGGACGTTATGTTCAATTTTGCAATGATGATTGTTGAATTCCTTGAATAATGTAGTATATGCTTTTTTGTGGATTTTATGTGCTCTGCAGGTTTGTAAATCTATCGCTTTAGCTATTCTTTTCAATATATCAGATGGAATATTTTTTCTTGGTTTTCAAATACGATATTTCTTCTTAGGCATAACGGGGTGTCCCAGAACTCAACGTCCAGCTGAAATGGAGTGATAGTATTGTTTTGTAACTATCATGAAAAATGTTAGAAGAAATGAATCTTATGCGGTTTAAAGATTGTGGGATTTTAAGTGCAATCTAGAGCTTTGGTCAAACTATGACCATGTTTTTTTGTTATCGTGGTTAGTTTATATTAATTTTGTTTATTTCAGCTTTGGAGTTGTAATCGTAAATAATATTTCCAGGACCACTGTTAAAAATAATTATACAATTGTCCTGAGTTTTCAAGAATTACGACTTTTTGTGAATTTATATATTCAATCAACCTTGAAAAACTCCCTTTTAAAAAAAATGAATTAAAGTATATTGGTGAGTTTCATCAATAGTTTGCGTATTTAATCAGGATTGTAAAATGGTAAAATATTTAATAGTTTTATAATAAAAAAATTAATTACTGATTGTGAATAGAATGAATTTTATTTTTTACTCGAATTTTTATATTATAAAACTTTCAAGGATTTCACTATTTTACAATTCTGATAAAATGCGCAAAAATTTTGATGGAACTTAACAACATGCTTTAGCACATGTTTTTAAGAGGAGGTTCTTTCAAAATCGATCAATTTTGAAAACATTAAATTTAAATTCGTAGTTTAACAAATAGTCTGATTCTAGAAAACGTGCACCAATTGTGTTATTATTTTTGGCTGTTCCTTTTTAAATGTTATTCACGGTTCTGGTTCCAAAGTTGACTAAAAATAACCACAATAACCGAAAAATGGTCACAGATCTAGGTTGTACTTCAAATCTCAGTATGTTTAAACTGCATGAGATTTTTTTTCTATTTTTTTTTCATGATAGTATAATCAATACTGACCTGTTACCTTTGACGTTGAGTTCTAGGATACCCTGTATAAACACGTGTATACTACAATGTCACACAAGTATTTGCATTAAAATACTCATTTAAAATATAATTTAAATTAAGCTCAATAACTTACTATAATCATTTTCTTAATGAAACGCATGTTCAAATGTTGTAGTTAGTCGATATATATTATAATTTTAATACTAGATATTTAATTACAGTTATTTAAAAGATAAGAATAATTACCTTTCGTGCACATATCATTATTAATGAGGAATATTTCTGAAACTAGACTTTTTGGATTCACATAACATAGTAATCTGATTTAGAATATGCTTCGATTGTGTGTTCTGGAGATGGTTTCATGCGGTGCAATCAATGCGTCTTTATTAGACCTTAAGGTCATCTTTTAGATGGATAATAATATCTCTATTAGACCTTTTACATGGTTTGTGATTATCGATTGAAATTATGGTTCTGTGGGTAAAACCTTAATTTCTTCTTAAACATAAACTTTGTGACTGATCATGCCGCATGTAAGAATATACTAATGTTGCTAAATTATCTGTTCACTGGTAGATTTAAGAAGTAATAAATGTTAATTTGTATACAGATCAGAAATCAATATCTACAAAAATGTCCGCTTCCAATTTTGTTAAATTTGAAAGTATAGACAAGGTTAGTGTATCTATAGTTTTTTTTTATACATATATTGTCCAGTATTGAAACTACATCAATCATATATCAAATTGTTCTAAGTTTCATATAACATTGCTGACGTTGCATACTTTGGCATGAAAAGCAACTGTTGGCGTTTTTCTATAATAATCATTTCATCATCCACATAATTAATTATAATTTGATAAAAAAGTGTTGGTATAGATCTTTCCTTTAGCACAAACCATTTGCACAGGAAGGAAAGGATTAAATAATCAGAATCAATATTTATAGTTAGTCAAGATTTTTTTCTTTTGCATAGGGCTTCCCAATAAGATGTATTTATTATTATTATTTTTAGATGTTTTTATTACACTTCAAGTAATAATGTCTATAAAGATCGATAGCTTAATTAATGATCACTATTTCTATCATATTTTTGTGCAAATGGTTTATTACTGTTATCATAATGGTGAAAAACTCTGATTGCATGCAACTGACCAAAAATTGTTTCAATCGAATAAAATTTTGGTCATAATATTATCAAAATAAATTCCAACAAATATTTTCTTAACAAAAAACACTCAATATATTAAGTATATAATATTTTGCAACTTAACTTGTTATTATGACTAAAATTTTCCAGCACGAGTGTGTAAGAACAACATTCATATATAATTCGGATTTTAAAAGTCTGTAATCACAGTTGTAATAGCTGTTGGATATTATCCCTTGCCGAATAGCAAATAGAATATTCTACATTTGTAAGTATGTATTTATTTTACTTGCTATCAGCAGGCGATTACAGATTTATATTATGATTTATATATGACATGCAATTGGATTAAGAAAAGCAATTGTTTTTCAATATTTTATAATTCACAAAGTGAAGTAATCAGTTTGTTTATGAGTATATTTAGTTAAAGATGACATCTATTATTGAAGAGGGTATATTGCGGCTTATATGAAATATTTGAACAGCTATTGAGTTTGATGAAATAAGCTATTGAACCATGAAATACATTTATTGAATAATTATTGATAATCTATTGATGAATATTGTTTATTGCATGTCATTAGCTGTGCAAACGATAATAGCTACAGAGAGCTGATGAAACATTCGATCAAAAAGAACAACTTGATTAAAATAACTTATATTTTATAATACTATATTTCTCATTATTTTTTTTTTTTTAATACACATAAACTTTCATTAAAATTTTTGATCATTATAAAATCAATAACAATTTGTAGTTCTATTAATATTATTAAAATTCTTAGACTGCGCTAACAAAAAATTGTAGTAGCTTAGTAATCAAATTATTAAAAAATTTGAAAGGCGTTTTTGATAAAAGTGTTGTGATATACTGAAGAATACTCTCAAAAATGTTTGTCAGCTTTCGTGTTATGATGATAGCAAGCACTATTCAACAATAGGGTTTTTTATAAGTAAGTCATATGTGGACAGGTGAAAATTCACATATTTCACAGCTCAATTGTTGGACTATTATTAAATTCATAGTTCCTTGCAAGCCATTTTGTAAATCAGCATTCAATATTATTATTCAGTTGAATAAATCTTGAAAGCTGATTGAATTGCTAGCAGGCGACTGCTCTCAGCAGTCACTCTGAGCTGTTGGGCAATTGGAGTCCCCTGTTTGTATTTATATAATTATAATTTAAACTTTATATTTTTTTGCGTAATAACTTAAATACAGCAGGTGATACTTGTCACAACTTGCCTTAAAGTTGTTGGACTCCTCAAAGCCCCCTGTCTATGAAGCAAGGTTTTGTTGGCATTGCATTCTTTAGAATATATTATGTAATATTTAAAATTTAAATTAATTAATTTGACAGGTACAAATTTGTTTATTAAGATTTGTAGATAGGATGTAGCATCCAAATTAATGTAGACTTGTAATCAATAAAATTAATATACATTTATGATATTTGTGTTTTATTAATAGTAATAATAAAAATATTGAAATTGGATTCTGATATATTTTAAATGTAAATGAAATTATTTCCAAAGAAAAAAATCAGGATTTAAAATATGTAATACATAAAGCAGCAAGTCTAATAATTTATATGCAAATCGAATAAGTAAGTCGTCATATCACAAAATTAATAAATATCAATTAAAATTAATATATATAATTTATCACTTTTTCAGTTGTGATATTCCAAAGGATGTAATTCTATTTAGTATATATTCTTCATTAACAAAACTATATATTGTATTTTTAAATAAATAAGTGCAACCATAAATAAATTGCTTTGTACATTTTGTTTGAATTCTATTTTAAAAAGCGCGCCTTTTAAAATCGTATGTGCTGCCAACTACTTCAGACGAATATAACTAATTGTACAAATCTAAACAAGAAATGTCACGTTGACAAACGTCAAATGTAAATATCAAGAAGTATTTATAAAATGTAGTTTTTAATATTTGTTAATGATTGTTTTAAACAAAGTGTTTTTATAAATAATTAGATAATTATATAATTTAAAGAAAAAGTTTAGTAACAATGTCTGTGTATAATATATTAAATGATGAAGACTTATCCACTGATGAAGGCATTGAAAAGGCTTGCCGAAAGATATCATCGGCAGAGGTTAATAAATATATAAAATACTTAAAAAATATTCAAAAGAAATATAATAACTCATATATCTTCCATCTTCATCAGGATCAAATTACAAAACAGCTAGAAAACCTATTATCACGACAAAATCATATAGAATCTAAATTAATGTCCATCAGTAAATCTAAGGCTGGTTTGCAGTTAATTCATCAGGATTCTTTAAATTTACAATCTATGATAACACATACTGCTACGTTAGCTGAAAATGTTAGTGCAAAAGTTAGACGACTTGATGAAGCTCGGGTATGTCCTTTAATTAATGATAATAAAATTTATTTATATGTAGTTTAAAAAAGATCTACAAAAAAACTACAAATCATCATGATATATTCTTTCATATTTCTAATATGATTGATATAATTTAGCTGAAATTTGTGTAACATATAGTGGTGAGGATCACTATGATTAATTAAATATTAAGAGGACTGTAAATTATAAATATTCCATTATTATAATATATGTGAATAAAACCTTTGTTTAGTTCATGATATATATTGATCTTCACTCTACAACCTTCTTCTCTCGTTACTTTTGCTACTCTCTCTTATTATTATAAATTACAGGTATTTATACTCATACAATTGTATCTTCTACTCTTGATAGGGGCTAATAGAAAAAGCCCTGGTCAAATCTTGACCATATAGTATAACGATTTATTTTTCATTATTTCAAAGATCGCAATAAAGTTATATTTTGATATGTTTATATACATAGTTAACTAATCCTATATTTCATTAAGTATTTTAATTTTTTATAAGTATTATAAAATTACACAATTAAGCAGAGTACACTTTGATGCAAGTAAATTAATTATATAATAGGATCTATTACTTAAAGAATGGATTAATATTTAATATAAATACTTTAAATTATAAAACAGGGCAAATAAATTCAGTTGTTATCCTTTTCAATAACCAATCATCCTACTTTTTTATTATTAATTTGCAATAAGTAATTGGTATGATTTATGATTATAGAGTAGAGTATCAGAATGCCAGCAACGAGTTAATGATCTAATTGATTTACAAATATGCAGTGAAGGTGTAAAATCAGCACTAAGAAATGAAGATTATGAGAAAGGTTTGTACTAAAAATTGTTTTTGTTATAACATATTATTTACATTTTTGTTATTATTCTTAGGAGCTGCACACGTTCATAGATTTTTATCCATGGATCAAAGCCTTCTGCAACAAACTGCTACAGATGTAGCAGAAAATACAACGAGTGTTAGTCAAGCATTTATAACATTGCAAGAAGCTGCTGTACAAATAAGGTTATTTATTATTAAAATTATTTAATTTCAATTATATTAAATTATTAACACATCTAAAAAAATATTTTAGGTCGGTTATAACACTAAAATTCAATGAAGCTGTAAAAAAAGATGATTTGGCTTCTGTTGAAAGATTTTTTAAAATATTTCCATTGCTAGGAATGCACAATGAAGGGTTGGAACAATTTGCTTTATATTTATGCACACAGGTATTTGTGAAACTACTCAATACAATAAAAACATGTATTTAAGTTTTGATTAATTATTTCAAGAATAAATAAATTTTCATGCTGATATGTTCTAATATTTCTAATTGTAAGAATATTACAAGTTTTTAATACCAAGTTTTTATATTTTATACAGATTCAAGAAACATCTCGAAATACCCTTAAGAATAGTCTTTGTACAAATTCTAATGATTCAAGATATAATATTCTTTTTGCTGATTGTCTCACTGTTGTCTTGGAATCAATAGCTCGTGTAATTGAAACACAATCAGTTCTTGTTGAAACATACTATGGACCAGGTTTACTTATTCAACTTTTCACTGTTGTACAAAAAGAATGTGATCGACAGGTGAGATCATTAAACAAATTCAAATGGTAAAAACACAAGTATCTGAATCAAAATTTTCTTTGAAATAAAAATACATAAATGATGAATTTTTTTATTGTCTTTACACTAGTTTTTCTGGTTTATAGGTAAAAAAAATAATAGAGGAATTTGTTAAACTTAGAAATATAAAACGACGTAGTATGCAAATTAACTCTTACATGAAAAATTCTTTGAACTCAAATGCTGCCAGAGGTCACACTCGTACCAGTTCTTCACTTGATAAACTTAATCCAAAGGAGTTAGATAATTTAATTGCAGAAGTGTCTTTAATGCATTCCAGAGCTGAGCTTTATCTGCGTTTTATTAAGAAAAAACTCTCGGTAAGCTTTGAAAAAAATGTGTATTGGGTATATATTTCATTAGAATAATTATTTTACTTTTTAGAATGATATAGAACTGGGAGTAACCGATGAAGATTTGCGCAAGACAAAACTCAATACTTTAAATAATGTTCTTAATTCATGTGAACTCAATATGTGCATGCAAGAATTACTCGGAGTGTATTTGTTACTAGAAAGGTAAATTTTACATAAGACTGAAGAAAAATGTTGTTACTCATTGTAATTTTTTTTTTAAAGATATTTCATGGAAGAAACTGTTTTGAAAGCCATCAACTTAGATTCTTTAGATGGGACTCAGCATTGTTCAAGCATGATGGATGATGTTTTCTTTATTGTTAAGAAATGTACAAGGCAGGTTAAATAATTTTATGAAAATAATAAAATGAGAGTATTTTCTATTATTATTATAATATAATTTTTATAGGAGGTCCATTGCTACATCCAGTATCGATGGCATCTGTGCCATATTAAATAATGTGACTGGATGCTTAGAAAGAGATTATAGTGCTGCCTTAAAATCAACATTGCAAAATGGTTATCCATCAGGGTATCTCGATCTTGCATATAGTGCTTTGCAGACATCTATTCAACAAGGAAGACTACACGGGCAAGGAGATAGTGAGCAACTAAGAAATAGATTTATAGTAAGTTTGCAATAATGTACTACAATTTTTTATATATTTTTATCTAATATTATTGATGTTTGATAAAAATTTTAGGCTCATCTAAATAATGCAGACACAAGCTCAGAGTATGTCGATACTTTAGGTTCTACATTATTAAATGACATTTTAACAGCCTATCCTAATATATCTACGAATGATCGGGAAAAAGTGGATAGTTGTTTGGCAAGTCTTTCAAATGTTACAGCAACATTTAAAGCATTGGTCGAGTTTGGTATGCAACAATTGCGAGTCAGCGTTATCAAACCACGAGTTCATCCTTGGATTGATGTATTTTTAACAAACCCACATCACTTTACTGAAGTAAGTATATTATCCTTTAAAATAATAATAATTAATAAATATAAATCTGAATTTATTCAATATAGTAAATTTATTATGGTGAATAACTTTTAATTTCTTGTTATAGGATGAGTTAACAGCATATGAAGCTGGAGAAACTTTTATCCAAACATTGATTGTAAATCTTGATGGTTTGTTAAGTTCTTTTAAGCATTGCTTAACAGCAAATAATTATGATTCACTTGTTGCTACAGTAACAAACGATGTTACAACTAGAATGGAACGTGTTATTTTAAAATCTACCTTTAACAGGGTACGTAATGAAGTTTTTTTTTATATTAATACGACAATCCAACAATCATTTTTGCATTTTCTCAATTGTTTTCTATTATTTTTAGCTTGGTGGTTTAGCTTTGGATCGTGAAGTAAGATCTTTAGGGCAGTATCTGACGAGTGCTACAAGCTGGTCAGTTCGTGATAAAATGGCACGATTAACACAAATAGCAACATTGCTTAATTTAGAGAAAATAACTGAAGTCAATGAATATTGGGAAGAATCAAATGTTGCTTGGAGAATCACCAAACCGGAGTTGGCAAAGGTGTTAATGTTAAGGTAATTATTTTATATTTTAATTTTTTTCAACATGAAATATATGTATCACGTTTTTCTTAAATTTTAGAACTGATTTCCGGTTAGATGATATAAAAAAGCTGAAACTATAACAGAAAGAGCATTTATTATTATAAATTAATACTATTATTTGTTAATAAATATATTAATATAAAAACCTAACTGTTTTCTTCCCTACGGCAATTTTGATTCATTTTTAATATCTCACATTAAAATATAAAAGGAACCATAAAAATATTTTCCAAAACTGCTCTTTAAGGGTCTAAATTAAATAACTGCCCTTTTTCTCATTCGACTATGATTAAAAAGTTTCTTAAGTTAAAAATATCATTTTAAATTTTAAGTTCGTAAAAATATTGATTTTAAAATTACTAACAACCCATACAGCACGGGTCAAACAATGGTCGACCTGCTTGGTTCCATGTACAGCCTACCGGGTTATTATAGCCCGGTATATATAGTAAGCCTATGATGGGCCAATTTATAACCCAGTGGGTTTAGACCCATACGTAACTAAAACTAACTAAAACGTAAATAATCTAATTTGAGGAAAAAAATACCTTTTAGATAATGGATCAAACATTTTATAAATAATAAAATTATTAAATAATGTGTGTTTTTTTTTTTTTAATTATTTTCCACGAATGGGAACAGATTCTAATATAATAGTTTTACAATAATTTTATTTCAAATTTTTAAAAAATTAACGGGGTATTTGAATCAACGGATTTTTTTCTTTCTATAAGGATGAGGATCATACTTCGTATCATTAATTAATTTTGATGTTGCCAAATACAATTTTAATCTCTAACGGCGATCACAGAATCGAAAACTCGAAAACAAAAATTCAATAATAGAATTATACAATGTATTTTGTAAACATGTCCGTGCATTCCTGTAATTATCCAAGGTTGAAACAATAACGCCATTGAATTTTATTTATATTTATTCATTGATTGCAATTTAAAATTCGCAATAAGTGAATGTAAGAACTATTCTATGTTTATATTATGATCACCGATTGTTTCATCAATTAATCGCGTGTTGTTGATATAAAGTAATAATTCTTTGTGTGGTATGTGTTTATTAAGAGGAAAAATGCTTACATATATCAATTTATAATTTTGTAATTATTATTTAGTATTTGATATTTTAACAGCCAATAATGCGTCGAATAATAAAATAAAAAGAAGAATTACTTATTTGTACTATTTTCGACACAAGATTTGTGTTATTATTCAGTTGAGACAAAAAAAGTGGTTCACATACACACATACACACACACATACGTTCTCCAAATTTCGTCTCATTCGATTCAGAATGGCTTGAAACGTCGAGCAAGCATAAAATTAGCAAATCGTAATATTTGATGAAAACATAAACTTTTCCTTCGGAAAATGAATAATGTTAGATGAATTAAATAATAAAATATGTTGTGTTGTTATACAGCTAAAATAAAAATATAATATTGAATGCATTACTTAAATAATAAATAATATATAGAATATTTAAATCCGGAGAGTCTTGAAAACATAAAATTGAAATAATCTCAAAATTGTAAAATTGGTTTTAAAATGAGTATCATAAACCAGAAAACTTGAAACTTTTAATTTTGAGTTTAATCAATTTTTATATTTTTATCATTTATTATTTTTAATTTTACCTGGTTGATGAACATTACTTTTATACATTTTATATATTGTTTGTTGTTACTGCATTTATTCAATGTTTAATATTATTTTATTTTAGCTGAATAATAACAAAAATATTGTGTCGAAACTACGATTAATTAATATTTTTTTATATTGGTTTCATCGTCAAAAAATCTTCACTTATCTTTAAATTAACTGGTATATTTAAATTCAAGATCATAATATTTATTTCCATTTCAAAATAATGATTTTTCTACAACTAATACGTCGTCATCTCATAATGAGCTATGATTATTCAATAAACTGAAATAATCTGATAACATAGTAATTAAATGTTGTTATTAAATTCAGTTGAATAATTAGTTTATATATATATATATATATATTATTATGATTTCAATTATTTTTTAATTATATATGATATCGGTTTTCTTTAGGAACTACTAAAATAAACACAACATTTTTTATGTATCCACTTTTTTACCCTATGAAACTAAAAAATTCTTCAGTACATATGAATATAAATTTAGATTTGTCTTTTTCTTGTGGTAAAATTCCTGTGAGTAATACAATTTAAAAATGTGGAATTCCGGGAACTATTTTGTTTTGTCATGGGTTTATCCGGGAATCTAAAAGTGAATGTCCTTTCTTCTGGATATAATATTCTTACCAAAACATTTCATAGGCCAGTTTAAAAATAATTCATAAATTCAATATAAATCAAGGATACTTTTATTATTAATATAAACATTAACGGTACAAATCAAAAACTAGATTTTTTTTTAAATATTTTTTATTTCATAATAAATAAAGAATTTGGATCATTTACCCAAGGCCCAAAGAAATAGAATAAATTCATTCAAATTTAAAATTGCAATAGCCATTAAATAATTACTTTATTATTATCAATATGCAATTTTTTTTTATAAAATTATGTACCGTGCTGAATGTCCTTTCTTCTGGATATAATCTTACTAAAATATTTCATGAGCCAGTTTGAAAATAATTCTTATTTTCAGTATAAATCAAGGATCTTATTTAATAAAAAACTGGCTTATTTTAAAATAATTTTTATTTTGTAATAAATAGAGAATTTTAATCATTTACTCAAGGCCCAAGAGAAAAAGAATAAGTTCATTCAAATTTAAAACTGTATTAGCCATTGCAATAACTTCAATTACTTTATTAATATCAAATTGCAATTCTTCTATAAAATTATGTAAATAACGTGCTGAACTCATTGTTTCAAATATTTGTTATTAACTTCAAATATTTGTTATTAACTGCGGCAGATTAGAAAACATTATTACATATCTTTTATCAAGTATTTTCATCATACTTCTGATATTACTTCTTATAATGTTATCATTCATTTTAATTAGCTGCTTACAATTATGTATACAAATAACAATATTGTTTATGTAAAATTAATCCAAGCATGTAATATAATTAACAGTTCTTAAATTCAAATTATGGACTTTATGACTAAAATAATAAAATTATGTGAAATATTTAAATAATTTAATTTTATTCTATTATGAACGTGTAACGTGGAAGACTGTGCCATATTTGGTATTTGTACGAAAAACTTGTATTATGCAAATCGAAGTCATAAGTAAATTATCAAAATACAAATTATAAAATTATCTTCGGTTGCGTTGATTGTAATATTATTGACCAATATTGTAATAATATGTATACATTATACATATTATGTAAAACTCAGTACAGAGTTTTAAGAATTTTAATTCTACTATCATTGTTAGTCATTGTTAGTCATATCAGCTTCAAAAATTTTGCAAATTAAATATTTCTGCTTCCTGGATTAAAGATACCAATTTTATTTTTTATCACCGGTTTCCTAAAATCTGTGGGTAGTTGACAACATGTATAACAGGAAAGACCGTTGTAAAACGGTCATCGTTCGTTTTTTTCCTATGACTAAACCGGAATTATCCCTTATTTTCGCTTTCAAGGTTGGGCACTGGATGGGAAATCCAGTTGATCCCTATACAGAAATAACAATCAAGTTGTTATTGACTTGTTTACTGTTACTAAATACTATCAGACACATTAGAAACTTATTGGAATATCATTGGTATCATATGAGAATTCACTTATTATGGAATAGTCGTTAATTTTTTATGCGATTATTAAATTTTATGATTTATCATTTTTGAAACTAAAAGAAATATTATTTACAAGTGCAACACATTTTTATTTTGCTGTGAAGATTTTTTCTAATATAAGCACCTATTCAATTATGGAACATCAGCAAATTTTTCGTAGCTTTTTCATTGCTTAAATCGAAGATATTTTATGAAAAATATTAATCAAAATAATAAAATTCCATATTAATCAAATGATTTATGCCTTCGGTCATATTAGAAACTCATAGGAAAAACATATCAAAGTAATTAAATCATCTAAGAGTTTGGTAATAGTTTGAAACGGAATTACTATTAATTAATTAATTGTTAATTGTTTATACGACAATTAAATTTTATTATTTTTATTTTAGATAAATTTAAGATATAATTAATTTATTTAAGATAAAAATTAAACTAAAAACGGCTTAAATTCAATGAAAATATATATGTAAATGTAAGAAAGTAAAATTAGTTTCTCATGAAAAGCTTAAAATATTTCTGAAACAAACAGTTAAAAATGTTTTTTAAATAGCTAAATCCTAATTTTTATTACGTACATTATTTCCACATTCCGAGAAGTAATTGCAACTTATCAAGTAAAGGGCCATTTACAACTATTTATTTCATGCAGTCATGACTTCAAATTTTCTAAATAACTTTGCATTTCAAAATATACTTTGTTTTTCTCAAAAATCGCCATTTAAATAGCCAATGATCATCGATTTATACGCATGACGAGTATACACGTCAATACACAAAATTCTGTCATGACGTGTATATTTGTCATTCGTAAATAAATGTTTAAATTAATAAGCAACAAAAATTAATAACTTCACTTTAAAAACTCATCAGTGTCTCTCATCAAACACTTAATTCTGCTATGATGTGTATATTTATCAATCGTAGTACACTGTTTAAACAAATCCAACTGTATCCAATTAGTGGCTTTGTTTTAAAAACCCATTCTGTTATTTACACGTCGTGTGTATATTTGTCATCACACAAAATTCTGCTACGACGTGGATATTCGTTAATTGGAATTAATTATTTAAACAACAACAATTCGTAACTTCACACTAAAAATTCAGTGTCCAATATTCTCTTATTTAAACGCACGACGTGCATACCCGTCAACACAGAAAATTCTGCCATGACGTGTATATTTGTCAATCGTAATTAATTGTTAACTTCCCGTAGGGCAAGTTATAGTAACCGCAAAAAAATCGAGAATGAAAATTTTTATATATCTTTACGTTTCAAAATCCTCTGAACATGTTGGCATACCTTAGAAAAAATGTATGTATGTGTGTGTACGAGGTGTGTTCAAAAAGTACCCGGAATTACTAATAATTAAATTTCGCGGGTCTGGAGTGTCTGATTGTCAAAAATTTTTTTTTATTGTGTTGGTATACATGCCCCTAAAGTATGATGAAATTTTCAGCTATATTCACTGTTTACTTTGTCTGTGGTAGTCGCTAAGGTTCGACGTGTTTTTCTGAGCTCGGCGATTTTTACAATGGAAGAATTGAAAAGTCAAAGAATTTGTATTAAATTTTGCGTAAAAAATGAAATAAAGTGTTGCAAAGTGCAAAAATTCACCAGATATGGCTCCGTGTGACTTTTTCCTATTCCCAAAGTTGAAGAGACCCATGAAAGGACGGCGGTTTTCCTCGATTGAAGAAAATCGCTGAGAGTGCTCAAGGACATATCAAAAAGTGAATATCAAGGGTGCTTCGAAAATTGGAAAAAACGCTGGCATAAGTGTATTATATCTGGGGGGGGACTACTTTGAAGGGGACCACATTAATGTAGACGAATAAATAAATATTTTTTTGAAAAAACGAAAATTCCGGGTACTTTTTGAACAGACCTCGTATATGTGTGTGCGGATACATATTTTCGTCGACGATTTCGGGAATACGGATGAAGCGATTTGAATAATTCAAAAAACATTCGATTCGTATTGATAAGGAGACGTGCTGATAAGTTTTTGGCGATGGCAAGTCTAGCCGTTCCGAAGATATGGGGCAAAAAGTGCCAAAAACGGTAACTCAGTTTTTAAGAGAACGGAGCGTCTGATTTGAATAATTCAAAAAACATTTTACTTGTAATAACAAGATGAATCAAATGAACTGATCAAATTTTCAAGAAGGCAGGTCTAGCAGTTTCGGAGATCTAGTAAAAGAAAGTAAAATAAATGCCATTTGGCGGTCAAAAATGATCATTAGACATATGCACATCAAATTATCAGTTATTTTATAGAGATTCAAACAATAAGTATACATTTTGTTTACATTCCTATGGGTTCCGTACCAATGTTTATGCGTTATACGGCGACGCGGCGCTTACGCGCTTTGATATTTCGTCTTCATGCAGTAAAAGCAGTACGATTGCTTTGAAAAAAAGTTCAGAATTTCCAAAATATTTTCAATTATCTTCAAAAAGTCTTTTTTTTTTTTCAAAAAAGTGAATATTTGTCAAAAAGATAAAGTTTCTCAAAAATCTATTTTTTTCAGAGTAAATTTTTTTCAAGAATGTTAATCTTTTTTAAAAAAAATAATTTTTGGTACGGAAAGTTTCAGCAATTTGCCTTAAGGCACGATGCCATGCGCCCCACTAGTTTAAACAACAATTAGTGACTTCACTATAAAATGTCAGTGTCCAATATTCTCCGATTTATACCTATGACGTGTATACTCGTCAACATACAAAATTCTGGCATGACGTCTATATTCGCCATTCACATTTAAACAACAAATCCAAATCTATTGACTGAGTGACTTCACTCTAAAAACCCAGTATCTAACATCACACTTCCATTGATCGATTCTGCGAACAATCCATCCATCGGCCATCCGCCGATGCCATCTAGTCCTAGTCGGAAAGCAAAAGCACGTCACACGTTGCGTCGAGTTCGTAGTCGACTTCGGTCACTTGAGTCAGTAGTGATTGGTCTGCGTGAGAGGTAACATACATATCATTCCAACAGAATAAAAACAACTACATACCTACCAGCATTTATAACACATATCAGGTGGGACATGGTCCGGTGAAGAAATTGTTGTGTGTCTGTCGACTTATGTGTGTCACTGGAAAACGAAATAATAAATGAAATACTAGGTATAACTATAAGTGCAGTGTTATACAACAAATGGTAATAAGGCAGTCAGTGGTACACGTGAGGGATACATGATGATATCAAAAAAATGTTATTGGTAACATAATTATTAACTATAAAGAAAGTGTTCAAAAAGTTGTACAATTGTGTCTAAAACTATCACGTGTTTTCTATTTTTTTTTTTTTTTTTGAGTCGCTTGTAACGACTGAGTACTGATACTCCCGGTATTCCCCAAAAAAACAATTACCAATACTTTGACTTACTAAAGTTTCAATTACCAATTACCAATTACCAATTACCAGTGTCCTCTGTCCTTCATCCTTTACCCTTTTGTTTACAAAATGTCACTGACCGGGTCGTCATTAGTCGTTATCTTGTTTGTGGTGGCAGCTTCCTGCATGGACAATTTACAAGTTGCTTATCAATGGAAACAGCTGGATTTTGATTATTCGAACGAAAGTGATAGACAAGCTGCGATCGATTCGAAAGAATTCATACCAGAAAATAATATACCTGTCGGTTTGGAAGTGTTCGGTGATAGGTTATTCATCACGGTGCCGAGATGGAAGCCTGGAGTTCCGGCATCTCTCAACTACGTCAAACTATCAGGTGGGTGGTAATTGATTGATTTTTATTTATTTATTTATTTATTTTATTTATTTATTTTATTTATTTATTTATTCATAAGCAGGCCGTAATCAATATTAATAGACATTATTTCTGATTTATTTTATATATAGTTGTTTTTGCTATTTTTACGATTTACTTGGTATAACGATAGAGTACTTGGTCTTAATGAGCATACTAAACCATTAAAATCTTACGGAATTGATAAAAATCATTGATTTTTGAAAATTTTCTTTTAGAAAATACTCCGAATTAACGTGTTCGTTCGTTTTCAATTATGTGTAACAAATCCACAATAAGTTATTGGGGTACAGTTTGTTATAGATAAGATGTATTCTATTTATCTTCTAGTAGTTATTAGTTGTTTTTTTTCAAAGATCGACATATATTAGGTCCTTGTGTCATAATTTTTGTCCAATATAAAGTGAATCTCGTTAAACATTTTGAATGCAAATACACAATCGATTGTTGATATATGTCGCATTTCAATTCAATTATAAAAATAAATTGCAAAAAATAATTTAAATTATATGAAACAATGCGTATGATGATGAATGGACTTATATAGTTGAAAAAAATCTGAATTAAATTTTTGTATTTTTAGTCGTTTCAAGGATTTTAGTTCTAACTCATGCATTATTAGAGCATGGAATATACATAATTTATTATAAAATAATCTGTATAATTTCTTATAATTTGTAATTTTATATTTAAATGCTTGATCTTGCGGATAACCGATTTTTTTCAAAAATCATGTTTTGTAAATATATTTTTATCATAATTTTACATAACTTGATATAAATAGAATAATAGGATGTTAATTTCATAATAAAATCATTTGTTTATTTTTTAACAACAGAGCCCATGTATATTCTGGGCTTTGTTGTTTTTAATACATAGCTGGATTTAGCAAAAACCATAGAAATAAAGTGGCATTTTGCCTTAAGGCAAGAAGCAATAATTTCTCGATTTGTAATGAATGAAAATATTTAACTGAATCAATACAAAATAAATTTAGCACTTTTCAAAATTGCGATGATGAAAATTTGAATTTTTATTCAAAACCTGGTTTTGATTTTCAATAACGGTCTTGAGAAACATTCTAAAATATTGTAGGCCTACGAAAATTGGTTCATTTATGAAAACTCATCCAAATTTGCAATATTTGGCTTCGTCAAAATTCCGAAATTTTATCGTCACAATTTACAAATTATGTAATATTATGGATATTTTTTCATGATTAAGTCAAGTATTTTAATTGATCATATTTTGTAAAAATTTTGCAACTTGGCTTAAGGCAAAATATGCTTACATCTAACTTATTTCTTTTATTTGTGTTAAAATTCTACTATTTAATAAAAATTTCAGTCTTGCATTCGAATTGCTTGTATTATTCAAATAATAAATTATTTTTGTATTTTAATTATCCGTATTAGTTTTGTAATTTAATATTTTATTTTTATATAAACCAAGATCTGCAAAAATGATGATGAAAATATATTCATAATATCAAACACGATTTTTGGCAAAAAAATCGGTGTGTCGCGAGTTCAAGCAATTAATTAACGATATTTCGTAAGAAACGATATAGATTATTTTATAATAAAATATATAGGTTCCATACACTAAACAAGCATATAAATTCGAGCAAAATTTATTGAAACGACCAAAAACACAGAAATTTTTATTCAGAATAATTTTTTTTTGCAAAAACATTTGTTACGACTTGTTGTATACATAATCAAGTTCTTTTACCATTTTGATTTTTGTTTCATGTATATTATTATCATTTTCTGTAATTTATTTTTATGATTGAATTTTATTTTTCATTATATTCAACAGCTTGTTTTGATAATATAATATTTTTTTCTCAATTATAATTGCTAATTACTGGTTATAAGCATAATTTAAAATTACATATGTGAGTCTAAAGATCATGGAATAAGAATTTCTATGTTAATGAAGAAAAATCGTGTGCTCAGAAACCATATAAACATTTAATTATGCTTATTAGTGTTTATTCTAACCTGAAGCTAATAACACAAAAAGATCTTATGGTAAATGGTAAATGCATTATTGTGTTTGAGAAACAGGTGTTAATTTTTCTGATTGTTTTTGTCAGACATAAACGGTGTATTTATATAAACCGCTTGGTGACCTTTCATTGTTTTACTATTTTAACTTTTTGGGCCAAAAAAAAATTATCATACATCTTTTGTTTGAAGAACTCATCTAACATACAAAGTGATAAAAATTCAATCGAATTTACAGATTCAAACATGAAAAAAATCCATAAATTCGTCAATTTTATTTACATTACTTCATCTACTAAATATGAATTTATTTTATCATGCAAGCATATCTATCATGAAGATACAAGAAATAAATAAAAGAAGTCCTCACATGTTTTTGTCATTTTTATTTATATTACGCATACAAAATTAACTTCATTTTTTAATTTTTTTGTTTAATCATATGTTTTACAATTATCCTTAGTGGATATCTAACAAATATAAAAAATAGATGTCAATGTGTAGAAGTTGCCAGTAAATAAAAAATAAAATTATTTTTATACAAATGTTTCTAAAAAAAATTGATTGAAATGGATGAAATTAATTTTTTCTATTTAGCAGATTTTTTCTATCTGGAGGATTTTTTTTAAAAGTCTTTTACAACGGCCAAAAAGTTTTTGAGCTTCTTGATTTAGATGGGATTTCAGTATTTCTGTTTTATTTTATTAATTTCGGTGTAAGGGATAGTTTGAGATAAATCTTGCCATAAATCCTATATATTTTTTGCAAATTTTAAAATAATAAACATTATTATGCAACTTTTTGTTTCCAAGTACCATATTTAGAAAATACACTATTTTTTTTACCAAAAGTGCGATTTTTTGGAAACACTGACAATGAATTAGTTTTTGTAAAGATCAGTCAACAATTGCAAGAAATACATTGTTTCTCTGAAGTTATTATTTATTACTACTACCATTTTTATTATTTTGTATATTATTTATAATATTTATAACATCTTCTATTTGTATTTTGCACATCTCAGCATAAAAACTGATGGAATATAATCGGATGGAATCTAATTAGATAAAATGTTAAGTTGTTAAAAATTGATAGTTTATTTGGTACTTGTTTGTTGTTCATATCATAAAAATGTTACTTGTTTGAATGTTAAGTTAATAATTCTAATTGAATTGAATATTGAATTAAAATTCAAGGAATCTAATTTCTTAGAAAAAAGGATTAATTATTTACATTATAGAATCCGAAATATATAAAGAAGTATATATATTTATTCCATGATTTTTTTCGGTCGATGAATAATATTAAAATTCTTCAAAGAGTGACGATAGTCATCTGATATTTAAAACAAATACTTCCCGCAAATATTTATTTCTAAGCAAAAATTTATGTTCATTATTTAAAAATTTTCGCGGAAAACATAAATTGTGCCTTCAATTTTTAGCTAATAAGATGAAATTTTAGTCTAATTTGTATATAATATATGCTTAGGTTCAAGAAGTAAAATATAGTTGGAACATTTTTCAATTTTGCTAAATAACCCATATCTTGTATCCGGATATCTTTCCACTCTGTAATTGACGAATATAATCGTCATGATCTCGATTCGGACGACACAGTTAAGTGGTTAATCAAGAACAAGGAAGAATCATTAATATATAATTTCAATTACATAAATATGAGCACTGTTTCAGAAAATTAAAAATTGCACAACCTAATAGGTAATTATTACATTGCCTCGGCGGCTGTTGAATATTGCAAACATTTCGTGCCAAAAAGACGCAATGATCCGGTAATTCGCCGACTGGCCAATATAAAATAAATAATAATATATGCTAATCACAGTAGATGCAACAGACCGTTATGGATACGATATATATATATATATATATATATATATATATCTGCTTCAAATACTTCGACTTCGACTTGGACTTAGAAATTTAATCCGAACGAGAATATTAATTAGTACATCTGATATTATGTCACGCATCAAAAGTTCGATGATCGTATGTGGAATCGTGTACACTTTAATGATTGCATCAATTTGTATTTAAATTCTATTAGATATTTCGATATTTTATGTAATATTAGCATTTGCAAGCGAATGAGATGTGAATAAAAATTTAATGCGAGAATATATTGTATAATGCACTTTGGTATGGTTATCAAATCGACTTTCGAATGTAAATATTGTAATAGCTCAATAATTAATTAAAAACATATTAAAGGGCACAACTAGTGTGAATTTTTCAAAAAATCGAATTTTCAATTTTTCCATATTTCGATAGGTTATACCTTTAAAAAATAACATACAAAAATTTTAAATCGGTATCTTAAATAGTTTTTGAGTTACAGCCATTTAAAGAGTATATATCAATATAGTATATATAGTATAATGATCATTTTATCTTTAAACGCGTTTTTCTCGAAACAGCATTTTCCGAATTTGCTGCAGCGATTACTCAAAAACAAATGATCCGATAACTATCAAATTTTTTTTACATGTTCTATATATAGTTCTCCGTAAAATGAACTATCGATTTTTTGATCGGATCAAAAATCTAATTTTGGCAGTCCAAAGACGACCAAAATTTTGGGTAAAATTCGACTTTTTTTAAAAAGACGCTGCAATTTAATAAATTTTTGATTTTTTTATGGTAGTTCATTTTACAGGCAATGTTACATAGTTTAACGAGAATTTTTATTTAAAATTTCATCGACGATAACTTAAAAAATATTTAATTTTTTTCTTCAAAAATTTGACTATGTATTCTTAAAACATGTATAAATATATTCCTAAAATTGAATTGATTGATAAAGTAGTTTTTTTTAACATTAATTCCCGAAAATCACCTTTTTTTAGGCGGTTACACTAGTTGTGCCTCTTAAGAAAATTAACTGCTTTATCATCCTCAGTTGAACCTTATATTCACTGCATAACAAGGAAATTGTTCTTGCTTTTATAGGAACTATAAGAACACTAAAAGTATAAACAACAATAATATATTTCCGCGAATATTCCAATCTCAGAGCATTATGAAATTGTAAACAAAAATTTCCTGAAATATCATCTTCATAGTCAAAAATTTATAACACTGTTTACGTTTTTCGCGAAAAATGTTTATTATCTAACATTAAAAAATTTTGCTTACTAATAAATATATTGCAAGAAGTATTTGTTTTGAATAGCAGATGACTATCGTCATTGTTTGAAGAATTTTAATATTATTCATAGAATATATATATATATATATATATATATATATATATATGTATGTGTATATGTATATGTATATGTTTACATATATGCTGTTTCTTAAATATTTTTCTATGACAAGCGTTCATATTTTATTTATTTCACCAACTTTCTTTCATCAATAAATTAGTTACTTCCTTTATAATGTATTAATTTATGAAATATTCACTTTTCTTAATTTAGTCTTTTATATTATAATTCTTATTAGTCTATATCAAGATTTGTAAATGATTGATAAATACGACCAGGCATAATATTTTTAATGTAAATGTGGCCCATAAGTTAAAAAGATAGTATAATAAGACAGTGTTCTCTTTTCAAAATTTACTATATGTAATTACCCCTTTTTATTACATTTTTTTCTTGAATGACTAACCAATCGTCAAGCAAAATTTGTATATGAAAAACAGAAAAATACAAAAAAGATATATTACACTGCTCTGTGGCATCATACAAAAACTGTCACGATAATTATTTATATTTAGACTTTTAACCTAACCATATTGCAGAAAATAAAGTTAGATACTATTTTAAAATTTTAAATGTATGTTTTTCAGCAAATTCACTTAAAAGTCCTAAAACACATGCACAACAATATTATTTTTACAACAGGCACGTTTTCGTCAAAATGTGGCACCGAACTGTTTGTAGATTGTTTTTAAATCAGTACCTAATGGTATGAGTTAAATGTATAAGATTCAATTCTCATTAAGTATATTATATCCACATTCTTGGAAATTCATGCAACTTGCCTTAAGGTAAAAGGCCACTTACAACTGCTGTATTCTATAGTCATGGCCTCAAAATATTCTAAATTACACATTTCAGGACATTATTTTTTCAAAATGTTTAAATGAAATAGCAAATAGTCACTGTTTTATACGAGACACTCACCAATACAGAAATTTCTGCTATTTCTGCATGACGAGTATATTCGTTAATCACAGTTAAGTAGTTAAGGGGGTGTCCATTAATCACAGAGGCCTTTTCGGGGTTAACAAAAAAGCACGAAATATCACGAATATTTGAATTTTTAGAAACAATCCAAACAGTTAAAAAAAAATTAAAGTTCACGATTTTTTCTCCTAACTAAAAATGCACGTGATTTTGTTTTGGGTAAGGAGGTATTCAAAAATGTCTACAAAAATGGTCACGTAATTAATGCCCCCCCCCCCCTAAATTGCAGTCTGTCTATACAAAAATGAAACATTAAGTAGTTTTAAAGTTCTCCAAGGAGTGAGTCTTTTTTTCTATTGATTACAAATTTATTTCAAAAACGTTTAGCAAACTCTGCAAAGCCCATACAAATTTCTAATTCTGTATTTCACAATAGATCTAAGCTAGCAGCGACATAAATATAAATATTTTACAATCTTAACAGTATACACCATATGCAAGTCTTTCGCATGTGTCGTCGTCTTGTCCATCAGAATGAGAAGTTTACAATTTGTGTTCCGCACAAACGTTACATAACAAACGAGTTTTATAATTGTATATTATTGTATAAGAACATCTATTATGTACACGAATACGGTTGCTAATACGCAAATCCGACACTGATAAGAAGATATGTCAATTTGCACGATTTACCATTTGAATGGAGATGTTATTGGAAATGAGATAATATATAGTGTGGCATTTGAAAATTTTAATGAAGAATAAAAAATAGAATTTATTTTAATTTACACTCATAGGGTCAGAATTTTCTGTGGGTTAGTGGTTAGAGCTATGGGCTTGTATTCAAGGTTTAATATCCGCCTCGGACAGCCTGATGTCAAGCAGTAGTGAAGTCGGTACTTGGGAATATAGATAGTACTATACTTCTAGGTGAAAATAGCTCTTACCGGTTATTGCTCCACCACTAAAAAGCTCATTAGTATTACTGAAATTTTACTTATGACTTCATCACTTAATAGGACAACCGTTTGGGTTGCAACCTATAAGAGATATACGTCGTTTAAGAAGTTAGTACTATAGATTATAGGATTTGTAACAGAAATGTATTTGATGTGAAATACAAATTTTATTTTTGTGATTGTAAACAATTGAGAAAACAATATTTATCTTTTATAGTATAAGTGATAAGAGCATTGTCCATGCAACCACAAGCTTCCAAGTTCAATTGGCCTTCTGGATAACCCGATATCAAGCTGCTTTTCTTTGAAAATATAGATCACATTGCTGCAACGAATTAAAAATATGATTACAAATAACAATACATATTTTGCAACAAATAAAAATGACAATTATTAGATTGTCTTCTGTAACAGAGATTTTAAATTTAACTTAATTACAACTGCATATAAACATATAGTTACTTCTGACTACTGTTTCTATATATAAATATTTAGTTGATAAAAAAAATGTATTTAGTATAAACATAGATTTTCTTCCAGAAATTGAAAATTAATTAAATTTTAAATTTAATATTCATTAACTGTTTGAATCATTAATTTGTCATTACACATAAATGTAATACAGAATGCAATTTACCAAAAATTCTTAGAAATTACATATTTACGGTATTTGTAATCATAAAATTGCAAAATAATTGGCGAGTTTTTATACGAATTTTGGAATGTAATGACACGTATGAATAAAAATTTATACATTTTGATTACTAATATATTGCTATTTCGAGTATTTCAACTGCTTTAAAAACAATTTTACATCAAATACAAATATAGATAATATGTAAGTATATATATATATATATATATATATATATATATACATATACACATATCAAATCATAGTCATATAAAGTTAGTGTCGCGATGTTAGACCTGAATCTTCTCCTAAACTACTGAACCGATTTTAAATTTTATTGGCTCACCGTGTGCATTTATATCCAACTCTAGGTTATAGATATAGTTAAAAATCTCAGTTTATATTCAAAATATTAAAATTTTAGAAATTTTAATTAAATTTGACAATTATGAATTTTAAGAAAACCATATACTGTGTAATGATAGTTGTCAATGTTTTGGGAAACTTTAAGATAAATCGATTCAGTTTTCGGTTTGAATTGTAATTACTATTATTTTTATATTATTTTAATTATATTTTTCTTGATGTATATTAGTCATAGTCATTTGACTCTGATAAATAAAATGTAATAAAAGGGCAACCAATGGGTTACCTTGAAATACTACAGATAGATATGTATACAATTAGACTTTCATATGAATATTGTATAAATATTTATTTTATTTCATACGAAATAATGATGGTTATACAAACGATAGGTCAAAAGCAAGTAATTAAAATTTGTATGCATTAATTGTACAAAAGCTTCTCATTATCATTATGTACTTAAAATGAAGAACAGTAATTAGTCACTGATAATTAACGTCATTTCAGAAATGCAATTAGTTAAGTGCCATTCAAGGTCTATATGAAAATAAATTAACCGGGTCAATACTTACTTTGTTTTCAAAGGAATTGTACGTCAAAAGGTGTTAATCGGTTTTAACTCATTTTAGAACAATAGTGGGTCAACAATAATAGTTGCTATAACGCTACCAAATCCTATAAAATGAGTTTATTTATTTAATTCCTTCTCAAAAATCTTGTACTGTTATACAATAGGTACTAATGAAGACACTTATATGCAAATGCAAATTCTTGATATCAATTCTTAACTACAATGGTTCGCATGTGTTCAAGTTCAGTTAGATTAAATCCGATAGATAAAGTGAGTAATCGCTCACATTATATCAAATCGTCATTTAAATACAAAGCTATCTCGGATCTTCTCCTCTATAATACTATCTCAGAGTTAGAGTTGAGACTTTAGACCCAACAACATGTGTGCAAAAGTTAGTATTCGCATATGCGAAAAACCATTCCGAACGAGAAACATCTGCCAGAAGGAATAATAGGAATATAAAATTTAATTAAAGGAAATTTATTTTCAACATGTGGGAAATGGTAATAGTTGCTTGTTTTACAAAACTGAGGAATTTGAAAATCAATTTTTTTGCACTTTGATATATAATACATAATAATAAATGGTAGTCTGCCCGAAGGCAGGTCCATGGTGTGAGAGCCACCCTTCATCGTCTATAATTATTATTATTATTATTATACTTACTATTTTGCCCCTTACCATTTTTACACTTTTTTATGTATTTTTAACTTTCCGTAGGGTTAGTTATAGTAATCGCAAAAAAATCGAAAATGAAAATATTTATATATCTTTACGTTTCAAAACCTTCTGAACATTTTGGCATACCTTAGAAAAAATTGATGTATGTGTGTGTGTTCGTCGACGATTTCGGGAACGCCGATCAACCGATTTGAATAATTCAAAAGAAATTCGATTTGTATTCGTAACACTCGTGATGTACACATTTATTAGTGTCAATTATTATATAATTATATATTTATAACAGCATTAAAAATATGTATAATATTCAAAAACAATAATGTAATTAAAGTCATACTTCAAATATGAAATGATCGGTTTGTCATTGTAATTATCATTTAGAAATAAACCTTCATTAGAGAAATGAAGTAATTGCTGATTAATAAATCCTATAATATTTGTTCACACAGTGTATTATGTTAAACAACTCCTAAACAAATATTGTTTCTGCAACTTCACTCAACATGCAATTGCGTTTGAAGAACTTCATGTAATTAAAATTAACATACATTCATTGACTGCTTGTATTTTTTTTAATTTTTCGCTGGCGATATAATATCATTCTTTGAACAGCTGTAATATCTGTCTTGCCTAAAAATATTCTCCATTTCAATAACTTCAAATATTTATAGAAACTACGAATAATATAAAAATAATTCCTAATCAATATAGTTACGTTTAATTGTTTAATTAATTTTTTTGTTATTAATTTGTTTTATTATTTTCAAGAAACAGGGTCAAACCCCCCTCCCCCATGTGATTTTTCGTGATTTTTATTTAAACTTTAACCTTAAAATAAAAAGTAAAAAACAAAACCTCGAAATGTTCTGAAGATAATACTAAAAAAATTCATTTGTGTCGTCTAAGATGGAAGTATTGACTTATATATATATATATTAATTTACGAGTATAACGGAACATGTCGGTTGTAACTATTGTCTTTTTTACAATAAACTATTCTCGTAAAATACAATTTTATTGTCTTGATTGAATTACTATATAATTTGAAGTAATTCATCTTTGATTTTGAAGAGTAGTTTAAGCAAAATATGCTCAAAAGATAATTGGCATTAAAAACAATTAAATTTTTAATTTGGAACTTCTTAGTTGCAAAACCAGTAGCTCACCCAAATCTAAATTTGTATAAAATCAATGTACGTATTCAAAAATACATTTCCTAAATATTTACCTTACCACCTGGACCTTGCTCTCCTGAATTCAAAACTTTGTTTAGATTTCGAATTCCTATTTGATTTACATAACTTGCTACGATCAAATAAGTATGTTTATATTATATAATTAATATTAATATTCAAAATATTCTAATCATAAATTATGGCACTTAATTATTCAAAATAAACGAACATTAGTGTAACAGTAAATCAAGATATATTTTTGCATAACAACTGCGTAATGGCGAATAAGGTGTTATTAATATTGAATTTATCCATCTGGGATAAATATTTAACGAAATGGAATTTGCATGATTTGCAAGAACTTTTTATGAATAAAATATAGATTTAAGCATCTGACGTGTAAGGTGGATAATTTTATAAATTCGATATTTTAAAATATAGTGCCCGATTGATTTCATATTTAATATATCTAGAGTTCCATCAAATTTAGTTGAAAATTAATTAAAATATATTTAGTTTCTGCTGTTACAAATGGTTCTACAGGCCTCCACATAAATACAAAAACCAAAAAAAAAATGTTAATTTAGAAATTTAGTCCTTATGATTCTAGAGACTTTCAGAGCCTGGAATAATAAGGTCATATAATAATTCAAAAATTTGGGATTTGGTTTTGATTTTGTACTTGAATTACTATTCATCTGGTGCTAAGAATTTTTTTTATCATCTATAATTTGCAAGAAAAAATGCATCTATAAAATGCTAAGAAAAAATGCAAGAAAAATTTGTTTTTTATTATAGTGAATGTCACAAGTAGATAGAAAAAACTGATTTTGCCTCGAAGCTATTTAATAAATAATGTTACGTTACGGCACTTGTATTAATAACACGTCGTTATATCAAATGATATGATATTTAATTATATAGTCTAACAATCTTATATGAAACTTGTGAAATTAATCTCAATTTAATCGATATTGATTGATACCAAGAGGTAATTCAGTTCAAGGCATTGGTCGTTAATTCATAATATTTTTTATTGAAGCTATTTTTTGCTTGTACTCTATATTGTTGTACAAGGATCTATAACATCTATAAAATGTAATGATGCAAAATACAAAATGTAACCTTGTCTTAAATCTTAAATATCTTATTTTCAATATTTTTCAAACAGAAGTGAAGTGTGAAACAATCGCCCTTAACTGTATTATATTTTTTATATTGTGCTTTCGTGATTAATTTTTCTAAAAAAATTCAATAGCAAGTTGCATGCACGTACAAACTATACAACATACTCGTATATATATCATTTTATTTCTACATAATGTAGGTCTTCAATTCAATTATGGTCTCGTGTCCATATAATGGATGGCAATACATAAATTATAAGTCATTAGCTCACAGATAATTGCAGATAACATGAAATTGAAGGAAAGTAGACCAAATCGGTAAATTGCGATAAATGTAAAGTACAATACCTACGTACAACGCTCGTGTTGGAAATAAATTAATTTTTAATGGTACATACCATTTATCAGCTGACATGCATCTAATTTGTACATAATTTTATTATCGCATAAATGCTTTAACTTTTAGTAAAAGAAAGTGAATAGGTAACTATTTAAACAAAATAAGATAGGTAGGTAAAAAGTGGAAAAATAGAAAATTGGATAAGTAAGCAGGTTGGCAGTTATAACTGATAGGCGGGTAGCTAGGTAGGCAGGTAGTTAGTTAGACAGGTAATTAGGTAAAAAGGTAGAAAATGAAACAGGTAAACTGATAGAATGATAGACAGAAAGACGGGTAGGTGGATTAACAGGTAAACAGGTAGGCTAGTAAACAAATAGACTGGTTTGCAAGTAAACAGTTGGACAGGTAGATAGGTACAGAAGTAGAAATCAA